GAGAGCTGCACGCGACCGCGCCGCGCGGACGGTGTTAGTAAAAACGTGAGGGCGGCGTAGCAAGGAATTACGACTTTCCCACGGCCCCGTACTTTAACTGATAGCCTCACACACCCTCAATGTGTTTGAGCGTACCATGTGTCTTTGAGTCGCCCAGGAGCTAGGATGACGATCTGTACTTTCAACGCACGGACGCTTGCATCGGAAGCTCACATCGAAGATCTGAAGCCAGGAAGATCAAGTACGACGTCATCGGACTGACCGAGACGAGGAGGCATCGCCCGCTACACGCCGTATACGAGACTGGAGAAGAACTGTTCCTCGGAACATGCGACAGCAGAGGCGTTGGCGGTGTGGGCGTCCTCGTCAACACGCACTTGGCCATGAACATCGATTCGTACGAAAATCTGACGACCCGAATCGGACGTTTGCGATTGAGAAGATGTGGTTCAACTCCAGCTTTGACAATCTTCGTCGCCTACGCACCAACATCAAGCTACGACGAGGATGAGCTCGAAGCGTTCTATATGGAATTGGAGAAGTTCTACAAGGAAGATCATACCTTCTTCAAGGTCATCGTCGGTGATTTCAACGCTAAGATCGGACCAAGAAGAACGGCTGAAGAACTTCACATCGGAACTCACGGAATGAAGTGGAATGAACAGGATGTCTAAATTATCTGACCCATACCATCCATGGTAACTCGCAGTTCCAGAAGCCCTACTCTCTACGCTGGACATGGGAGTCTCCTGGTGGACAATTCCATAATGAGATCGACCACATCATCTTCGTGGTCGGAGGTTTTGCCTCAGATCGATGCGGGGGGAGAGAGCTGCAAGTTCAAGAAGCGAAGCCCAAGACCGTCATCAACTGGGATCACTTCACTTCTCTCGCTGGGCTCTGGGAGGATTCCGTCATCGACGAGGAATACGAACGGCTTGTCGCACACCTTCACGACTGCGCCAAGAAGTCAGAGAGTTCCAAGATTACCAAGAAGCGTCTATCTCTGGAAACTCTCGAGCTGATTCGCCAACGTGGAGCCGCACGAGCCGCAGGCAATTACCAGCTGACGTCTGAGCTTGCGAAGCTATGCAGAGAAGCGATAAAGGAAGACCTCAAGGAGAGAAGAGCAGCAGTACTGGTGGAAGCCGCAGAGGCTGGGAAGAGCATACGCAACGCCCGCCGCGACTTCGCCAACTGTAAGACCATGACCGCCCTCCGACGTCCGGATGGAACAATCACCGCATCCAGAAGGGCAATGGAGAAGGTCATCCACGACTTCTACTCTCTTTGACAGCCACGTCCACCTGCCATACCGCTTGGAGCAGGATGGATATGTCGTTCCTGCAGTTCTCTCTTCCGAAGTCCGACACGCCATCTCGTCGGTAAAGAATCGTACGGCACCCGGTCCCGACAGGATCAGACCCGAACATCTGAAGAATCTTCCGCCAGTTCTTGTCAAAACTCTGGCTCGACTCTTCACGCGCTACCTGTCGGAATGCAAGGTACCCACCTCGTGGAAAACCAGCAAGACTGTGTTGCTGTACAAGAAGGGAGACCTGTACGACATTGGCAATTATCGCCCAATCTGCCTGCTGTCTGTAGTCTACAAACTCTTCACACGAGTCATCCTGAACAGGATTGGCAGAACACTAGACGAAGGACAGCCATGCGAGCAAGCAGGGTTTCGAAGAGGATTCAGCACGATCGATCACATCCACACGGTAACGAAGCTCATTGAAGTATCGCGAGAGTACAAGATGCCGTTATGTCTCACGTTCATCGACTTGAAGAAAGCCTTCGACTCCGTTGAGACAGAAGCGGTTATCGAAGCCCTGGGCAACCAGGGTATTCCTACTCAGTACATCAGGATTCTTCGTGAGCTCTACAGCAACTTCACGACCAAGATCTCACCATTCTACAAGGAGATCATCATCGATGTGAAGAGAGGGGTCCGACAGGGCGACACCATCTCGCCCAAGCTCTTCAGCGCCTCTCTCGAGAACGTCATGCGTCAACTGGAATGGGAAGACATGGGAGTGAAGATCGACGGTCGGCAACTACACCATCTCCGCTTTGCTGACGACATCGTTTTGATAACACCAAACATCGAGCAAGCGGAACGAATGCTGGCTGAATTCGACTGCGCGTGTGGAAAAATCGGTCTACGGCTGAATCTAACGAAGACGATGTTCATGAGAAACGGATTGGTTTCTGATGCCCCATTCACGCTCAACGGAACGACCATCTCTGAATGCTCTAGCTATGTGTACCTAGGTCGTGAAATCAATATGATGAATGACTTAGCTCCAGAGCTGAGCAGGAGGAAGCGAGCGGCTTGGGGAGCCTTCAAGAACATCGAGGGAGTAGCGAAGAAGACGAAGAACACCAAGCTCCGTGCCCACCTCTTCGATTCCGCGGTCCTTCCTGCCTTGACGTACGCCTCAGAGACTTGGACTCTACGAAAGCAGGATGAGCATGCGGTCGGTGTTATTCAACGCGCCATCGAAAGGGCGATGCTCGGAGTTTCCCGCTACACGCAAGTGAGAGAGGGAATCCGGAGCTCCGCACTCCGCCGAAGATCAGAGACGCCGCCGCATTTGCCAAGGTTTCGAAGATCAGGTGGGCCGGACACGTCATGCGTTTCGAGGACGACCGCTGGACCAGAGCGATCACCGACTGGATTCCACGGGATGTCAAGCTGACGCCTGAACGACCTCCGTTACTGGCGCCCGTTCGAGGAGCTCGATGATCAACCTGAGCACAGGTGATACACAGGGGACAGGTGATACAGAAAAATAACTGAAGGTGTTGATTCTAATAACTGAATGGTGCTCCCGTGGGTAGCAGACTTTTCCGCTTTAACGGTGTAATCAAGGCACAGCATCGTGATGTGTGAAATGGTGGTGTAGGTACAATCCCCCCTACCTGGATGAGGGTCTCAGTACGACCCCCCCCCTCCCCAACACCCACCTACCAACTTCCCATTTTTTCCAGTTTTTCATTCAAAGATTTTTCGTGAAGCGGGGGGAGGGGATATATATAGCCAATGTGAAACGGGGAATCTTAGATTTTCCACGTTCCCTATCACTGCTCTAGAATTTCCCGAGAGTCTCTCTAGCTTCACCCAAAAATTTGGTTGTCGAGTGGGGGGTGTACATGAAACATTGAAAATCACGAAAGGTCAACAAACAAAGAAAGAAAATTTTTTTCCCAACCCAGCAATTTCCTCCCAAAGCCACATACGGCGCCCTTCTCCCAACAACGACCGAAAACTACTCCCCAGCCTGAAAGCACCATCTCCTACATCTTTCGCACAACGACCCTGGATGGAATCGCAGTCTCCTGAAGACGACGATTCACTCGAAATGTTAGGCCATTCTAATAAATGTCCCACTCTGACGAGGCACAGACCAAAAATATCAGTAACTAGATAAACACTGAAACAAGACAACTTGCATTTATGATTATAGTAACTTTTTGCCCATTATAATGAAGGACGGTTCTTAGTGGTCCTTAATGGGTCACTCCAAAGAAAAAAGAAGACGGTCTAGGTGATAACATCGAAGAGTCAGCCTCCGCCCTCACAATTTTCTTGGTTTTAGTTTTGTTTTACCTTCAAATTGTGAGATGGACGGTTTTCAGGAACGTCATGAAGGCACTTTCACTGTCAGGCTGGCTCGCTCTTCTTGTGGTACGTTGATTTTGATAAATTGATGTCATCCCTGTGGGAAAAGGGAGAATTTTGTTCGTTATTAATTGTTTCTGAACTGCGTGGAGGTGCAAACTGACTGCGTCTGCGATCTGTAGGAGAAATGTTGTTTTCAGTGGTCCAACTAATGGCAGTGGCTGTGCTCCCGATTAGAATTCCACTCAAATTGGTGAAAGTCCTTCAATGAGAACTACATATACAGTAGACATGCATTAGGCTTCACACAGATTTCATAACCTTTAATCAGGAATTTGATGTACTTGAGATAATTAAGCAGATTCCAGCAGTAGCCGGTGGAAATAGAACGTCGTGGAACTAACGAGGACGTATGTAAATCTTACCGTACGTTTATAAAATATCGTGGAGAGGGCATCACCACTTGTGTGATAATGGAAATCTACCTAAGAGTCCATGGAGGAACAGAGGTCGAACAGAGAGCGAGAGAGAGACAGAGGACAGAATCTCTTCTTTAGCATGCAGTGATGTATAGGCGGTGATGTATGGGACTTTACTGACCTTTTTGTGGATACATTTCCGGTATGTTCGGATGTGTTTTTGCTCACTGGGTCCCACCGGCTTAGGGTGCACTCATTTGAAAATACAGTGCATGATGACTTGGACGCAAATGTCACCATAAGGTGTTATCAACGAACGGCAAATTTTGGTTACTTTCGTCACGTGAGATCTGGTTGCTATCCATGGCCCTCATCAAATTGCTGATTCAATTTCTATTCTATCAAAAATTAGGACCCAGAGATCGAGGAAGATGGCAACCACCATAGCCTGATGGCCATGATCATGCCTCGTAGACACTAGACCATTGGACTGAAGCATGTGAGTGAACGGCAGCTGTCCCAGACCCTGTACTGGACTATATTTTGATTGCTGTCATTCGTTTTCTTGGCATCTGAGAAGATGAGATGAAACAATCGCAGCAAGAGATCGGCAAGTCGAAGTTTCGAAAGAAGTTGTGTTGGCAGTCACATGCAGAAGAACCACTAATGGTGCCCTACCCAACACGCTGAATGCTGTCTTATCCAATGGCGGCTGAGCAGTGCGAAAGGCGACTAGTTATTTGCAAGCAACGATTCCTGTACTGTATCTGGAGAGCCTCAGGAGCAATCTCTGGTATTCTCCACATGTGTTAATTGCATTTTATACATTCATGTGTTAGAAAGTGTATGTCAGGGTAGTATCGCAATTCTCACGCTCTGCTGGGAATCCCAGATTTCGGAATCATTCACGTGCAACAGCCCGAAAAGGCAGTGAACACTTTCTTCATTTCACGATGCAGGCAACGGTCAGCGAAACAGCTGCGAAGACTTTTGGCGTAGACCTAATTGGGAAAAGGGTAAGGTGATTGTATTCGAGTGGCGGTAAACCCAGCTTTGCCGAAGCGTCCCTTGGACGGCTGCGCCCAAAGACACTAGCGCTCATTTCTACTGAAGATTCCCCGAGGAGACGGGAGTTAAAGGCAGTGAGGATTTCGTCTGAGGTATGTGGATGAAATTTTCCTGTCTTGGTTTGCGCGCCTGAAGTGCTGGCTCACTGCTCTTCTACCAATGACGCTATAACTGCCGCCTACCTTCGAGTTAGTGCAACCACACTCACTGCCTTCAGAAATGAAGGGCGTTCCTGCTGCACCATTGTGAATCCTCTTACTGTTCACATGTCGCGCTCCATTACAAGGGCACGTTCTCTAGGCAAAACCATTTTTTTTACATTTAGGACATTGACAAGGCTAGGTTCATGTTACTTCAATGAATTTTTAGAGTGTGCTAAATTTTTAAGGTGTGCACGACGATCGTCTATGTGTATCCTATCAAAATCTGCGTGTATAAAAATGGGACAAAATATTGCTGATTGGCAACAAGAAGCAAATGTTGAAATCCGTCATTCCAACGATAAATGTTATCAAAGATCTGTTGGCAGTAGCACTACGCATAGTCCTCATCTCAACAAACGATAGCGCGAGTGGCGGAGCGTGGATTGGAGCCGAGGGGGCCACCAATTAGGCGATGACGCGTTCCATCATTTCCAAAACTTTTCAAAACAAGTGGTGACCATACGAGGGAGTCTAAAGGCAGTTGGCACGTTGAATCCCAAGACTAATAGGACTAATACGCCTGGCAAGACGCCGAGCAGGTGCCTCTACCTCTTTCAACCTCTTTCAAGAAAGGTCCGTTATAGGTCCTATCAAGCTGCAGCATACCGACTTGGACGCCCACCGCGCCCCGCCCACAAATGTACGACCGTACCTGATGCATGGCGCGCCGTCGCTGCGGAAAGCTCTTGCAGAAAACGACCTCCCCACCATCCAGCGACAAAATGCGACCCTTCGCTGAACATTACCAAGCCTAAGACGTGTCCTGATAATTATCGAGGCCGTACAGTTCTAAAAGTTATGGATTCTATTTCATGGTGTTGAACATATACTTCCTGCATTGGAGCTGATTATAAAACACACGAAAGTGTATGAGAATTGTGAGTTCGAGAAAAGACAACCTTGAATGAGGAAGGTTGAGGCAGCACATTATGTTGTAACGGTATGGAAACGATCCACTCTACCTTTCAATTTTGTCAATAACAAAAATTGCACTGCTTAGGTCTCCGTTGCGTTAGAGTTAATGCTGTTCAGATAGATGTCCATGAATGCGACAACAAAAGCTTCGAGGTGAATAATGGCCTTCTGTCCTCTTGTGAGCCGATGTTCATAGAGAGCAGCCATTTCGATCACTTCCCGCCTAGCTGATGACGGAGTGCGCTTCAGCAACTCTCGAAGTAGATACTAAACGGTCAATGGGTTAGATTACACGCCAAAATTCGTGGCATAATGACGGATGGTCTTCTAGCTCAGTGTCAACCGAAAATACTGCAACATAAGCATCAGCAAACACATGCACAAGCTGCGTATGAAGTCCGCTTCGCTGCGAATGATGGGCGTGTCATAGGGCTGGGTTTGGCGCGCATGCTCTACCAGCTAATGGTAATAAGCGACAACGATTGGTGGAAAACGACTGATACGAACGCTACTGTACAATATCACGCCAAATCAAAGCGATTCCAGCTCTCTGGCACGCCAAATCCTTCGCAGCGGACCGGACTGTACACGCAGCTTGTGCATGTGTGCTGATGCTTCTTGTGTTGCAGTCTTTTCGGTTGGCATTGAGCTAGAAGACCATCCGTCATTATGCCATTTTTCCGTCATTACGAGGCGACCGCCTCTTGCACCGATGGTGTTCTATGGGACCAGTGGTCCTTTTGCGTCGATTGACGTCTCCACACACCTATCTATTTTATACTGTTCCTTCTTGCTTCCACATTGGCTCTAGTTAACTGCAGTTTTCACGATTGATATAAAAATGAACCCTATAACTTGCATAAAGTGTAGTTCTCTGCGGACGGTTGGGCGTGTCAGTGCGGCTGCGTTTGGCGCGGTGCCAAACCCTTTCTCCACCAGTTTTTAAAGCGAGCAAATGATATGACTGTATCATATCCTTCGTATTACTCGTTTTCTACCACTTTTTGTCGCATGCGCGCTTCAACAAGAAGGCAGAGAACGGCTTCGACAGTGTGAACACTCATACTGCCTGACACGCCCAACCGTCCGCAGCGAACTAAAGTGTATATCACGGATTACACACATATGTGTGTGCATGTTTTACAATTCAACCTAGGCTAGAGATAATATTCGTTGCATTTGCTATCCTTGTTTATTAATAGTTGGCCCTGCAGGGAGAGCCAGCCCCTGGGCAGCAGCCCTGCCGAACCTTCGGGAAGTCTGCTCTCTGCGTATGGGTTTGACCGCTCATGCGCTTAGATCTTAGGTCAAAAAATGCGAAAATCAGCGCTACAAATTATTACTCCACCACCCGGTTCCACAAGGTAAGGGGTGGGGCCAATCACTTCAAACTCAACGACTTTGGTAACGATAACAAGGGTTGCAAATGTAAAAGAAAGTGCAGAACATGTGATATAACTAATACAGATAATTACATTGTATCAAACGTTACAAATTTATATATTAACACATATAAAGAAGCAGATGCAGATTGTAACGCTAAAAATGTAGTTTACTGTTTAACATGCAATGGCTGTGGGATACAATATGTTGGAATGACAGTAAGAAAATTAAAAGAAAGAATTGGAGAACATCTTTCTAATATTTTTTCACACAAGGTACACACACCGTTATATAATCACTTCTACAAATGTGATAGAGGTATAACGGTACAAGTACTAGACTGTATGAAGTCTAATGATAAAACCACATTAATAGAAAAGGAACTTTTTTGGATCAAACTTCTGATGACAGCATATCCCTTTGGATTGAACGATAACATAAAGGGATATGGAAACATTACAAATATAGATAATCCTCTTATGTACAAGGGCAATCATCCCTTCTTCTCTCTTAAAATTACAAAACAAAGGATAAATAGAGGAAAAAGAAACAGTAAAAAGAATAAAGTAAACACATACGATAATATTATAGCAGAGATAACAAGTAATAGTGAAACACTCAAACCTATTCAGTACTACAGAATGCTCAAGAGTCTGCGTAAAGAAGAAATTAAGAAACTAATTGAACTCTCCATGTCTGCAGACTTCTTACAGAGAGTTAATAATAAGACTAGGTACTTAATATTTTGTCTGCTAGCTCACTTTTCATTTTGACACTACCACAAAAGAAATCACCAAAAAGAACTATCATAATGTAGAGGTCAGTTTCAAAAGCAGGGTATTTAATGAAATACCCTTCAACAGAATCTTCAATTCACGTACTGTTAGAGATATACTACTCAGCGATAATGGAAGGAGCAGTGAATTCACCCCAATCAGAATTATTTATAAGTACAACAACACAATGGCTAGCAAAATTTGCAATTACAACAAAGTGTTGAAAGATCTCGACAACGAAAAATTGAAGCAAATACTCAACAACGATTGTATATGTACTACAAATACAGTACAAGAATATGTGGATAAAAATTATGAACACGTTATCACAGGAAATGTAAATCTTATAAAAGAAGAGAGTTTCAGAAGACTTGCTGAGTAAAGGGACCAAATATAGATCAGACACAGGCATAACAAGACAAGAAGTTAAAATGGTGTTGAAGATACACTCATCAAGGTCATAAATTATTTTAAATATAAATACAAGCTAGCAATCACAAGGTTGATCTATTACAGAAACATTTTCGTTCATGTTACCATGACAAAGTAAAACCTCTACTGACAAAGGCTAATATTGAAATATAGGAGAACACATACCTTACAACTTAATCAAACAATATCAAGAAAAATACGTGTTCTGTCCTCTTGACAAAGCAAATAATAACTATGGCATCATCTGCAAGAAGTTCTACCTTTTGAACATAATGCATGAAATGGGCATTTCTTATGATGCTGCCAACCACACATTTGTCTATGGAAACAGTAATAACACATATGAATTAATGCCTCATACGAACAAGTATTCTTTAATACTGAAGCACAAATTCCTTTGTGTAAAGAATAATATCAATATATCCATTGATGCAGAAATACCTACTATATGCCTTACCAAAGCTACATAAGAATCCAGTTAAATTCAGATACATCACAGGTGCACATAGCAGTAGTGTTAAGCCATTGGCCCAGGAATTACGCATAGTCTTCACACATCTCAAAAATCACTTTATTAACTACACCAAAGTAATACAGAATCGCAACAGGACTATCAAGACATACTGGTCTATAAGTAACATTAATATAAGTCACGAACTACACAACATCACGTTCGACAATCTCAGAATTTACACTGCTTTCACGGACATGTTCACAAATTTAGAACATGATCTTATTATAAAGAAAATGCAAGAACTTCTTAACATTTGCTTCAAAAATGCCAACAGATCCTTTATTGCCACTAATGGTTACCATGTTTTCTATACAGATGGTAAAGAAATCAAGAACAACTACAGATATTACAAATCCAGCGATTTAGTATACTTTATTGACTATCTTTTACGTAACAGTTTTTGTCTTTTTGCTAATAATACGTTCAAGCAGACTAAAGGTGTCCCACAAGGTGGCAATTTCAGTCCACTACTGGCAGATCTTACGCTTTCTGTCATGGAGTACTATGCTAAATCTAAAAAGTTTAATAAAAGTAAGCTATTCATTCCATATAGATATATGGATGATTTGCTTGTGGTGCATAACCAAACTGATGATGAGGTGGATGAACAACTTTCTTTTGTTTATCAAAATACCCTTCAATTGAAAAAACTCATAAT